TGGAGGGGTGTTTTCACCCATCACATATTAATGCTAATAGAGCTTTCTGACCCCAAAGTAAGAACACCTCACCTGTGAAGGAGTGTATGTATTGCTTGAATGGTTTGCATATAAATACTAATACCTGTCCAACCTTATTTAGCCCAGTAAATCTCTCAGAGGGTATAACTCAGCCATTTTGACCACAAGCTGCTATAATTAGGTCAGATGAGGAATGCAAACCCTCTGCCATGAATCATGTTTCTCAAGTCTCCAGATTTTAACAAATACTCCCAACTGACCGAAGGTTAACATACATGACCCAGTATCTCTTCAAACAGCAGGTGGAGACATGATATTCATTTTCCTCGACTTTTTTTAAAGTCTAATATGCACTGAGGTGGTAACATGATTTGCATTTCAAACTCAGAAAATAAGGCCTGTCTCTTGGGTTGGCTCATGAACCTCTGGGTTTTGGGAATTTCTCATTTAGGGAAATGTGATGTCTGGAAAATCCCATGAAGAGAGTTTCCTGGCAGGCTACAGCTCGTGGGATCTCAATGAGTCAGACATGACTGAGAGCATGCACACACACACCCAAAACTTAAAAAAAAAAAAACAACAATAAGAGTAAAAGCAAAAGCAAAGTTAAAAATAACAACAAACACATAATTGGCAATAAAGCAAGTCCCCAAATGATCATCATCCAGTGCATTCTGATGCAGCAGCCTTGTAAAAAGTCTGTCGTCTATCTATCTATCTAAGTCACTGATTTTTATTTTTGGATCACATGTCGATGCAAACTCAGGAAAACAAGAGAGAACTCAGCCTTCCTGTTCAGGAAGTGTGGATCAGTTTAAGAGTGAACAGCACTGAAATTGATCCCCTCTATTGCCTCACCATGTCTAAAGACCTCTGATATCCTATTTCATCCCTTAGAGTATTTGTGATAGGAAAAGAAAGAAATTCAGGATCAGGAAGTCAAAGTGCCAGATCTGGGGTTGAGGGCTAAGATGTGGAGCCCTGTAACAGGGATGTTGCCAACCATGGATTGCAGGGTTATGATTCCATTTCAGATCCATATCAGGAAGCCCACTGAGCATTTCCCTGAGAGGGATAAGCACCTGAATCTCGTAGCACGTAAAAGGACCCCCCAGTGACTCGCTATGACTCACAAGGTAAAGTTCACATTCTTTCCATGGTGTAAAGTTCTCTCAAGGCTTGACTTTTGCCTACTTTCCTAGCAATATCTCCCCACTATCCTAGTACATGTTTACACATCCCCAGGTGTGAACAGCTACTTGCTAGCAAATTTCACAGCTCTATGGTTTGATGTATGCTATTCCTATGTGTGTGTGTTAGGTCGCTTCAGTTGTGTCCGACTCTGCAAAACTACGGACTGTAGCCCACCAGGCTCCTCTGTCCGTGGGATTCTCCTGGCAAGTATATTGGAGTGGGTTGCCATGCTCTCCTTCAGAGCATCTTCCTGACCCAGAGATCGAACCTGCATCTCCTATGACTCTGCATTGCAGGCAGATTCTTTATGCTGAGCCACTGGGGAAACCCCACACTATTCCTGCTTTCTGGTAACCCTTTTTCTTCCCTCTTCATTTTGAGAATGGCTACTATTAATTTTTAAGAGCTAGCTTGAGGACCTGTGTCTCTGTGAACTAAACAGTGGGTGAATGCATTTTCTTTTGGAAAAATATTATGTCTTGAGTATTCTGTCGTTATAGATTTTCTCACACCACATTACTATATTTATTTGTCTTTCTCCACAGAGGGCCGAGCTCTATGAGGTAAGAAGGGTGCCTTATTCATCTACATATCAATAAATAGCATACATTTTAAATACTCAAAAAGTAATTGTTGGATAAAATGTTTAAAAAAAATAGTTTGAGAGACTTCTTCAGAAATATTGTTTACCATGTCTTTGGAATACCTTAGATCTAGATGTTGCTACTGTCTCAACCATGACTAGAGCTACTTTGATGCTATTTCATTGTCTTCTTTTCCCCAATGAAATACAATGTTCTATAGAGAATGTCTTCACCAGAAACCATCAATCTAACTTGTCTGTTGCTTTCACAAGCTGTACAATGTCATTCACCCTCTACTTTAGTGGAATGTTTTATCCTAGCAGCTAATTTTGCTATGGGAGTCCTTGCTTGACTCAAAATCTGGATTTGGAGGTATTTCATATGGTGCCACATTTTTCTTAGGGGGCACTATTGTTTAAAAAAAGAAAGGCATTAAAAACAAATCTGAAAATCATTTGGAAATTAAATCTAAAAACATTCCACAAAATAAGAATATTTGGAATAATATGACTATCAAATAAGACCAGATTTAGGGAATGGAAGAAAAGTAAAAGAACTTTGAAATTTCTAAAAAGAACTATCACAAAATTTGCAAAGTAAGGCCAAGAGAGTTTCAGGAATGTCCAGCTGCAACATCTGAGAACTCATATTTATTTTAATTTTTGAAGTACATATTCACTTATTGGTATTTAGGTGTGCTTTCTCCCAGGATAAATGCTCTCAGAGAGTCAAAAGCATGATATCTGATTTTTCCCCCTAAGGATCTAAGGTATCTGTGAATTCTGTGAGCTTCAGTATAAGCATATTAATTGAAATTTTAAGTCTTCTTCACTGGCTACTTTTTAAAGTTCTAAGTTGCCAACATTGAGTCTGGGAATTATTGATGAAATGTTATTTTATTCATTAATACACAATAATTACTCTTACTAAAATTAGCTACATACAAAGTTCACATTCATTATCTATTTTAATGGATCATATTTTTTAGCTTGATTGTATGTGTTTTGGGGAAAAAAAAGGTATGTATATATCCTTATTTATTTCCTTACCTAAATCTCTCTCAAACTGCTTCAGTTTGATTGACTTTTAATATGTTTGAAATTTCACTTGGGTTTACAGTCTACTGGAGTAAACTCCAATTTATGCCAAAGCAATAAGAAATCATTTGAATAATTCTGGATGAGGAACTGCAATCTTAACAGTTCTCTTTCCTTTTCGTGAAATGGTCTTAGTTGTACTGAGGTTCAGTGATTGATAGAATTCATGCTATACTTGTTTTTCAGGACTGCCATAACAAATTAGCAGAAATTTGGTGACTTCGAACAAAAGAAATGAGATTGGTTGTAGAAATAAATTCATTTAGTGAGGAACTCTGTATTGCTGCTTTTTGTTTGCTACCTAACAAATATTACAGTTTTGTTTATAATAAATTGAATCATTTGTGGATAGATATATTTTTAACATGTAAGGATGGCCAATGGAAGATTCTTTTTCATTTCTGACATAAATTATGTCAGTTTATATAACTTTTGATAGTGAAAGGATAGAATCCCAAAGATCAAGAGGATTTGGAGTTGGTTTCAATAACATTCATGATGAACATCTGGAAGTCTTAGAAGTGATTTAGGAGAAATATCAGCACATGTTTCTTGTTGGATAAATCTCAATGGAAGAGGCATGCAAACATTTGAAAATCATTCACTTCTTTTTATAACAGTCTTATAAAACCCTGCACACTCTTACTCCATTTACTCTGCGTTCATGTATACAGGTCCTAAATTTGAATTCCTCTATCTGTAGACTCCCTAGCTACCAAATGTTCTCAACAATATAATATCTCCACTTTCCATGGCTGTTAGAATATTTTGGATTTATTGCTGTTTTATATCTACTCTACAATATTCATTACTTAGAAATTGGTTGTAAAACTCTGACAAAGATCTCTTTCTGATGCATCCATGATATAAACGAGCTTTCCTGGCTCCATAAAGAAGAAAATTCAAGTAGGTAACTAACAACTGCACTGAGCACAATAAATAAACAGAAATCAAGTCAAATACAGATGAGATTTTGCTGTTTGCAAACAGCCATGGGAGAATAACAATGAACATCTATAGTTCAGTGCCACTGGGGCATTAATTCGCTTTTAGGTTTTCAAGGAGAATAAAACTATATTTGCTTTGATTACAGTGATGATTTTGTTTAAATTTTGATCTCAGTATTGCTGACTTCATCTATATCAATCATTTTTCTTAAAAGCCATTTGCCTTTTAAGCTGACTGGAAGATATTCAGTTTTTAACGCCTACTATAAACTCAACTGAAGAGAGGTAAGGATAATGAAAATATTTTTGTATATCCAAAGGATCAATATCTATTTTCAATAAAATGACAATGATCCAACCTGCAAGTGATCTTACTGGCTCTGAAAACTCACAATGTGATTCTAACAAAGAGAAGGTATGTAACATGAGTTAACTATCTCTCCTGTCCTGCAAGCGGTCATATAAATGGAGTGGTTGGACCACACTGTCTCCTAGCACTGATAGGTTTATAAAGAGAAGGCAGAATAATTAGTCTGAAGGGAATTAGTCTGGCAAAAATAATAATTAGTCTGGCACAAATACTAAAAAACATTGTAAACCACCACCAACTTAAAGGTTTGTAATAGGGGAAACATGATTGTAAAATGTAACCCAGTTGTCTCCTATTACAAGAAAAATAGCCATGAGGGCATAGACTTCATTCATTTTGCTCCTGACTATAAACCCTGTACCTAGAACAATCCTTGGCTTATGGAAGATGCTCTCAAAATATTTTGCTAAATTAACATTTAAAAGTGTTACACATGTGAGTAATGAGACATACACATTTACTCTACAGTGAAAGCTATTGCTTTGGGTAGAAGGTAGACTGTATCTAGAAAATAGTTCAGTTTGCTATTAAAGGTCTTTAGTTAGAAAAACTAACACCCTGCTTGTCTGGCCCAAACTTTCTCTGTTGGTCTGCAGTCTCGTGTTTGACTCCATGCTTCAGAGAGCTAGCCCAAACCTCTGTTTCAATGACGTCTGTACCTAAGCTTCCAGGAAGGTGGGTCAACAACTTTAGTCTTTAAACTGCTGAGCCCCTCTCTCACCAGGCGTCCTTGTGTGAGTGACATCGTCTTTAAACCCTGCGTGGCAATCCCTGATGCACCACCGTGATGCCCAGGGAAGACAGGGCAACCTGGAAGTCCAACTACTTCCTTAAGATCATCCAACTTCTGGATGATTATCCAAAATGCTTCATTGTGGGAGCAGACAACGCGGGCTCCAAGCAGATGCAGCAGATCCACATGTCCCTCTGCTGGAAGGCTGTGGTGCTGATGGGCAAGAACACGATGATGCGCAAGGCCATACGAGGGCATCTGGAAAATAACCCAACTTTGGAGAAACTGTTGCCTCATATCCGGGGTAACGTGGGCTTCGTGTTCAGCAAGGAGGACCTCACTGAGATCAGGGACATGCTGCTGGCCAAGAAGGTGCCAGCTGCTGCCCGTGCTGGTGCCATAGCGCCATGCGAAGTCATAGTGCTGGCCCAGAACACTAGTCTGGGGCCCGAGAAGATCTCCTTCCAGGTTTTGGGCATCACTACTATGACCTCCAGGGGCACCATTGAAATGCTGAGCGATGTGCAGCTGATTAAGACCGGAGACAAGGTGGGTGCCAGCAAAGCCACGCTGCTGAACATGCTGAATATCTCCCCCTTCTCCTTGGGGCTGGTCATCCAGTAGGTGTTTGACAATGGCAGCATCTGCAACCCTGAAGTGCTTGACATCACAGAGGAAACTGCATTCCCGCCTCCTGCAGGGTGTCCGCAATGTTGCCAGTGTATGCCTGCAGATTGGTTACCCAACTGTTGCATCTGTACCCCATTCTAACATCAGTGGGCACAAGTGGGTCGTGGCTTTGTCTGTGGAGACTGATTACACCTTCCCACTTGCTGAAAAGGTCAAGGCCTTCTTGGCTGATCCATCTGCATTTGTGGCTGCTGCCCCCGGGGCTGCCCCTGCGGCCACCGCAGCCCCAGCCAAGGTTGAAGCAAAGGAGGATATGGGATTCGGTCTCTTTGAATAACCACCAAAAAGCAGCCAACCCAGCCAGCATTATTTGTGAAATGAGAAAATAAAGACTTACTTATCTTAAATAAATAAATAAAATAAACCATGGAGCCTTAAAAAGGTTCTTGCCAGGAGCAAAGTCCCTCAAGGCAAGAACACAATGCCTTGAACTTTAAAACAAGGAAACTTACATTACCATATGTAAAATAGATAGCCGGTGGGAATTTGCTGTTTGACTCAGGAAACTCAAACTGGGGATCAGTAACAACCTAGAGGGATGGGATGGGAGGGAGGTGGGAGGGAGGTTCAAGAGTCAGGGGACATATGTATACCTATGACTGATTCATGTTGATGTTTGGCAGAAACCAACACAATTCTGTAAAGTAATTGTCCTTCAATTAAAAAACAAATTAAAAACAAAACAGTAGGAAGGAATCTCAGACTTCACCCAATTAATATCTTCATTGTTGACAGTGAGGAAAAAATTAGAAGAAAGGCAACTTGTGCCCAGTGACTCTGGAAATAAATCATAAAGCCAAAGACTAAAATCCAACTCCTTTGCTGCTTGGTTCTAAGACCACCAAAAAGAGTGACAATAACATTGCTAACCTTTGAAATTATAAAGATCTTAAGACTTTCAGACCATCCCTGAAAAAATACAACTGAAAGACCCCTTGAAAATATACCCCAAATCATATTATTCCCCCTCTCACTTCCCTTACATTCACCTCTCACTTTCTCTTCTGAGAATATCTGCATTCAGGCTCTTACCTTTGTTCTTTTCCTTTTTTCTTTTTTTTCTATTTTATTTTTTTCTGCAGATGATTCTAACATTCTTGCCTAAGTGATTCATGTTTTTCTAATCTAATTCCAAACACTGACCTTATAAAAATTCATCATTTTTCTCAAGAGCACGAGAATGAAAATGGCTTGCAAAAATATTTCAACCAATGACTGACAGTCCTGAGACTAGAACCCAGATTTCTTGTGTTCCAGCCTAGGTTCTTTCTATTACAAGGTGCTGTAAGGGAAATAACAATGTCCTGATTAATTCCAAGAATCCCAAAGATGGATAAAATGACACTATCAAATTCCATCCCCTTATATGAAATTGACAATTTCCCTGTCCTCTTACAAAGAGCCTGAATACAGAAGACCAAACTGCCTCTCCATTTATAAGATAAATCCTCAAATTTCTTTCTAACTTTTGTAGCCTTCTACAGTCAGTGGGTCTACTATATTTATTTCCCCTTCAGGATCAAGTTGTTTTATTTACCATCCCAAGAACAAACAAGGCTCCTTACTTTTGCCCCAACTCTCCAAGATAACTCAGTTCAACTCTGTCAGTCTCTCTCTCCCTTATAATGCATTGAATATATATAAAATATCCAAAAGAAATTTATTGATGTCTCAATTGTGGGCCATATGTTGTCATATTAAAAGGACACCTGGATAAAAGAAAAGGACACCTGGAGATGCCCTAGTAAAATCTCTTTGAGTGGGTCAAAAATAAAATTCTAGGGGAGTTATGTGATTTTGTAAAGGATTCCAGGTACTATGGAGAAATCTGAGGAGAAGAAAGAAAATAAGTGAAATTTCTTTATATGGCCAGGAAATTATAGATAATATATAGTTGCATTTCCATTTTACATATTGAGAATATGATAGTTGGATAAACTGTATGAGATATGATTTAGAGAATAAAGATCTGGTTTTCATTTTTTTCAAGCCCAAGCTTTTATTCATTAAATCAATTGCACCTTAATTTTAAGAGTGATAGAAAGATACAAAAATAAGATTTTTATACATAATATTTAATAATCTCTGTGCCAGGGAAAAGAAGGTGTAAAGTTTATTCATATTAGTAGGGATATTCAGGACAGGCAGTCTAAAGAAGAGTTTTCTGAACTGATCCTCTTTGAAATAGGGACTTAATAATGAAAAAAAGCACATGCAATACTAGTATAGGAGCTTTTATTCTCACTGTTAAAATAACGACTTTTAGCAATAGTGGTTATGAAAGAATCTAAAGAGTAATGCAGAGTATGAGCAAATTAATATATATTTTTAACTTATATATACAACATGCATATATGTATATATATATTTAAAATAATAGCTACAACAGGCTACTGGATAAACAAAACAGCCATAAACATTACAATGCCTGACAGCTGCAAAAATAAGAACTGAGAGTGACAGTAGCCAATACTACTACTCAAGGCTGAAGCTTGTAATTTACATCTTAGTGAAATTAAACATACTATAATAGCTTAGCTTCCAGGCAACAATACTATTAAATTTGCAGTAGTAGTTTATGACATCATCTGAAACCCCAGGATACACATTTGAAGCTGGCTATTATGGTTAGTAATCAGTATTGCTGTTCTGGTTAGTTTTTCATTTAATTCATTGCAGGCTTCTATTAAAAAAGAAGACAAATATCAGCAGTTGAGGATGCTGTTTTTTGCAAAAGCTGTTAAGCCTCAGGTTGCAGTGATGTCATATTTTAAAATCAGTAATAATAGCTTATACTTGAATAGCATTAAGAGGTCAGAATTATATTGAAAATATGATAATTTAAGCATTTTAATAGTCAATAAGTATAATTTGGGGATTTCTAACTCACCTTTTCTAAAATGTTTCTTAACAAACTGTCAATGACTGTACAACGGCAGAGTAACAATAAAACCTGTGGCTGTAAGTAATGGTTTTATATTATATAGCAGCAATCTCAACCAGATATACTGTAATCAGACCATTAGAAGCACCGACACCTCAGGAGAGGAGTATCTATGAATTTTTAAAATTGTTTCCAATTTTTGGTGTATAAATTAATTTCTTTGGAGATGGAGAATATAAGTCACTACATAATTTTTAAAAATGTCCAATTTTTCAAAAAGTTTATGGACTTTGTTAATCATAGAGTGATTCTCAACAGTTAGGGAAAGCTTTTTAGAATCTCCTGTGGTGAGTATGAGAAAGGACCGTTTAGTTAAGTCCATCTATTTCCACTAGATGATTCTAAAATCCTTGATTTTCAAGGATTTTGTGGCTTTCTTTCTCAATCTCAAGCACTGAACTGTTAAAAATTCTACACTGATTCTAAGAGAACACTTGAGGACTGGGGAGATGAAAATGACTTGGTGAAAATTCTCTGACAGTACTCTTTGAAACGATCACAACATTGTTAATCAACTAGACTTCTTGGCGCTAGTTGTAAAGAACTTGCGTGCCAATACAGGAGACGTTAGAGATACAGGTTCAATCCCTGGGTCAGGAAGATCCCCTGGAGGAGGGTCTGGCAACCCACTCCAGTATTCTCACCTGGAGAATCCCATGGACAGAGGAGCCTGACAGGCTGCAGTCCACAGGGTCGCACAAGAGTTGGATACGACTGAAGTGACTTAGCATACCCATGCATGCCAAAATAGAATTAAAAAAGAAAATCTTTGACTAATGATGCCAACATCTGGAACTTGACAACAATTTTCTAGAGATTCTTTGCTTTTATTATGCAGCTGACTTTTCCCCCTCACTCAATGAATTTAACTACATACATAAGTGAGAAGCCTCAGAAAAGTGGAAGTTTAAATGGAAATATTGGATCACATATTGAGTTAATCTGGTCTGAAGTAGATGACTACCTTAAGTAACAAAATTGAAAGAAATCCACCTCGAGTATCTCACTGAACAATGCATAAGCTCTAACATCCTTAGGAAAGTAATGAAAAAGCCTTCATTATAAGGTTTTTGGGAAACTTAATGGTTCTGCCATTGGTGCCTCCCTCTGAGTCAAGTTATATAAACTCTATATAATTATCACCAATAAGCACCAAGTGCTTAGAAATAGTAAGTTTGGAACAAGTGGTAAGGAGAAAAAAAGGTTCAGAGAACTGTATAGTAATGTACTTTTAGGATCTAGAGATCTGTGACTTTAATGTCTATGGAGTAAAACTTCCTACTCCAAAATATTTCCTTGGGAATATTTTGAGCTGAAAACAATCAAGGCCCAAAAGACTTTGGAAGAAACATTAACCTTTCCCCTAAATGACTTAAGAATATAGATAGAGGACCTGTTTCAGTGAAGGACCTCTCACTACAAAAGTACAGAATAAACTAGGTGTTCAATTCAGTTCAGTCACTCAGTCGTGTCCGACCTTTTGTGACCCCATGGACTGCAGCACACCAGGCTTCCCTATCCATCACCAACTCCCAGAGCTTACTCAAACTCATGTCCATAAAGTCAGTGATGCCTTGCAACCACCTCATCTTCCGTCATCCCCTTCTCCTCCTGCCTTCAATCTTTCCCAGCATTAGGATATTTTCAGATGAGTCAGTTCTTCGCATCAGGTGGCCAAAGTATTGGAGCTTCAACTTCAGCATCAGTCCTTCCAATGAATATTCAGGACTGATTTCCTTTTGAATGGACTGGTTGGATTTCCTTGCAGTCCTAGGGACTCTCAAGAGTCTTCTCCAACACCACAGTTCAAAAGCATCAATTCTTCAGTGCTCAGCTTTATTTTATAGTACAACTCACATCCATATATGACTACTGGAAAAACCATAGCTTTGACTAGACGGACTTTTTTTGGTAAAGTAATGTCTCTGCTTTTTAATATGCTGTCTAGGTTGGTCATAACTTTTCTTCCAAGAAGCAAACATCTTTTAATTTCATGGCTGCAGTGATTTTGGAGCCCCCAAAATATAAACTAGGTGTGGCAGGCAGCAACTAGCAGACTCTGTTAAAATTCCTTTCCGAGTCCTATTTTCTCTGCAAGGTTCAGCAAACACTCATTTAGGAAACTTTTGCTTTTCCATTTCCATGTCAATTTCCTTCCTCCCTTTTTAGGTTCCAAATGCCCAACATTTTGTACTGTCTTGAGCTAAAGGCTGTACTTAAGCTGAGGTTAAAAAGGCAGTACCTAAGCTGAGGGAAATCAGTCCTGAATATTCATTGGAAGGACTGATGCTAAGTTGAAACTCCAATACTTTGGCCACCTGATGTGAAGAACT